TATATATATATATATACGGTCCGTTTATGTGAGACTATTGTAAAATGAAAGAGATGGTGTGCCTGTGACGTTTGCTTTCAACACAACGTGGCAGGAGAAGTGAGTGTTGGGTGTCAGCAATCTCTGCTGTGGCTCTGCGACAGAGCTAGTCGTTGAAATGTTGTCATCACACTATGTAACTTTTGGAACCATTTCCAATTCGGTTCTTCTGAGAGCACTTTGGTGAGCATGTCTGTGTTGTACGTGTATGTGTGTGTGTTTGCACAGAGGAGCAGGACAGAGCTTGACAGCAGGCACCAAGCCACTCCTGCTCACACGGAGAGGAAGGGGAGGAGGAGGGGTGTCAATGCAGTTTCTGTCTTTCCCCAAACCCCCCCAAAACTAAGAACAATGCAACACTACAGTGGGCCACCGTAGTTTGCCATATTCTAGCCGAAAAACAACAAAATGAAACATAGGAATAAAGAATGAGCCATTTTACGATCTATAGCATCCGCCTTTTTTTTGTATGATGTGACACTTTGAGCATTTCACATGCATCTTTGGGTATCTGCATTGTCCCGCACATTCTCTCGGCATTTCAGAATGCAAAGTTTATAATGGTGGAAAAGTAGGTATATAAACTGAAATGAAAAGGAAACCACCTTGAAAATTAAAAAAAAAAAAAACAATAAAGCAGCATTCATTCCATTCCTGGATGCTGTGGCTAGCAAGTGTGCTTGAGAGATTTTGTTTGAATGGGAGTCAAACCTTGCAGGCCACCCTATGGGGGCATTTCTTGCCTAAGCCGAGAGGCGGGTCGATAACTCGCAATAAACTGTACATGTCCTTATAATGAATGCGCCCGCTGCAAGAAGAATACAGGGGAGTTAGGAGACGCTCACGCACAGGAGAACACACAAACAAACACTTATAAAGAAGAGAAAAACATTGGGAGGAAGAGCACAAGTTTCACACAGTATTTGAACATACTTTGCAATATGTTTACTGTAAAAATAAAAAATACTGTGCTAAATTGAGATCACCATCGCAGGAATGCATTTAGTACTTTGACACAAAAAATATATAAACAACACAAAGTACTGCATGCTACACACTGTTAAATGTGATCCCAAGCACTGGCAAAATACCATTTTTATTTTAAACTACTGTTTTCACACACTGGATGTGCAGACGCTTTGATTAAGCTGTTGCTAAACGACGACAACCGCACATGTGGCAAACAGCAAACCACTTAATAGCTGCCCGTGTGTAATAACGGCTCCCTCTTAAACATAGGTTCAACCATCAACTATTTGTTCGTGATTAGAACATAGATTTACGTTGGGAACCCAGATTTGATAGCATCTGTTACTTGTGTGCACTGGTGGCATTACGGGCAGGCTAGGAAGTGCTACATCAGGTATAGCAGAGTTTCTGTCTGTTTGTTTCTGCTCCATACTGGACTTAAAAACGTTGGTTCGTTGTATTGATGTTTTATAAAGGCAAGCTGCTCTTAAAGTCTTAAATACACACTCGCAGCCACGCCAGCTGACTATTCTGAAGGAACTTTACATGGGTCTAGGCATACTAGCTCGCTAGCTAGTTCGCGAGCTAGCTGTACAATTAGCCAGGTAACTGCTGATGTGAACGAAGTTGCTCAAGTATATAGTGTATATAGCAGTCTTATATAGTAGGAAAGGGGCGAGTTATACTTTTCTCCAAAGCGTGTCACATGACACCATTTTAGCTGTGCCCCCCAAAAATCTGAAAAACTGAAATGGTGAAAAACTGTTTCGCGCTATAGCTCCACAATGGAGTACAACTGGTCATTTCCCAGCTATACTGACAGTTTAACATCCACTTTGTATTTTTTTTGTATGTGCGGTCTACAATCGGACAACATGAGTAACAAGCACACACATATTGGAATACAGATGCCATGAAACTTAGCATGTCTACAGTCGATGCTCATACTGTAGACAAAGACAAAGCAGTCCTTGGAAACAAATGTGGACTTTGCCGCGGTAAGTTTTTGGCTGTATTCAGATACCACGGGGGAGGATTTGGGATTGGATTTGAGGGCTTTTTAAGGACAACTTGCATATAAGGAGAGGAGGAGCACGAGTAGAAGGGGAATGGTTGCCAGAGTGAGATAACCAGATTATGGTTGTTCTCACAACCCCTTTGGCAGAAAACTCCAAAACAGTGGCAGGCCTCGAATAGCGATTGCTGATTAAACACAGTCACTTGGCAGTTGACCTTTGGGTGCAGCTACCTCAAGTATTTCACACGACCCTTCAGTATGTGCAGCTTACTTGCACTGAACAACGGTTAGACAGTTGGCAACAAAACAGGTATGTGTATTTCAACAGACGTTCAAAGTCGAGCAAGTTTATCTCATCATGACTATTGACACCGGATTCCAAATCAACTGGACTGCACATAAGTTTCAAATAAATAGAATTGCTGTGACAGAAAAAAAAAATCCCAGTAAGTGTGGGAGACCGCGATAACTTGTGGATAGCACTCACAGCTGTACACTTTCTTACATTTGTTACTCGTAAAAAAAAAAACGCAGTGGATTCTTGAGATTAGCAGGGCTGTCGTTGCTTCCCCCTGTGTGAGCAATCCCGTTACAATAAGCAGAAGAAACATGAAAAACCAGACCTTTCCTATCTACGAGTAAGCGCTAAACATTTTTACAGAAGCAAAATATCTGTGAGACTTTACGGATACAACCCAAGGTAGCTGCATGATGCTTTGCAAATGTGCAGTCTTGATGTGCGTGCACGGTGGTGCATTCGGGCTCCCACTTACCAGGCGGCAGGATCATACTCGGCCCAGATCCTGACATACTCATCCAAGTGGTGAGGTCCAAGTATGGAAGAATCTCTGGTCAAGTACTCAAAGTTGTCCATGATGACGGCCACAAACAGATTCAGCATCTGCACACGAACACACGAATACACCCATGCTCGGGAAGGTCCAACAGCCAGCGTAACTTGCGAGATGATGTGAACTCACCAAAAATGAACAGAAGAAGATGAACGAGACAAAGTAAAGGTAAGCCACTTGGCTGCCGCACTCTGGCTCTGTATTCCCCGACAGCTCGTCGCATTCTTTACCCCCCAGGCACGCCAGCATGATCTCATGCCACGCCTCCCCAGTGGCGCTCCTTGAAATGTACACAATAACAAATTCAAACACGTTCAGAACGAAACGGCGTGAAGCTCATCTCGTGAATGGCACCTGAAGAGCAGCATGAGAGCCTGAACGAAGGTCCTGAAGTTGTTGTGTTGGTCGATGGCGCCCTCCCCGTCTTCTTCAATCGCAATATTCCCGAAAAGCTGCAAAGGAGATGACACTGAGAACATGACCGGTATGTGCACACATCCAATACAGAGTATCGGCAATCATGGGGCCGCTTTTCTTTTGGGGTTTTGGTGCTTTTGGACAAATGATCCCTGTTAACACAGAAATCTGACGAGAAACACCGAAATTGACGATGCATTTTTTCCAAGAACATGAAATATGAAACCAGTGAACTTTTCCAAAAATGTCACTTGTTTTCAAATTACTGAGCATAAATTGCCCAAAACAGCTTTTTCAATTTCTGCTTGCCCCAAGAGTAAGACCCACCATTTTTTAAAATCAACAATCATTCGTTTCCAACCGGTCTTTCTATGCCTAATGTATCCCCGTTATGTTTTAGGTTCGGCCTCCACATACCTGCATCCCAATGATGGCATAGATGAAGAAGAGCATGGCAATGAGGAGGCAAACATAAGGCAGAGCCTGAGGACAGACAAAAAAACAAACAAAAAAAAAGACTGAAGCATCGGAATGTACTTTGCAAACGCACTCGGTCATTATCTGTGGAATAATGAATATTGTTTTTCAAGTCCGCACAGGTAAATGCAAATATCCATCAGAGCTTGGACGATACGCAGGACGATTGAGGACAGACCTTGAAGGACTGAACGAAGGTCCAGAGCAAGATGCGAATGGTTTCTCCTTGCCTCAGCAGCTTGATGAGCCGAGCTGCCCTGAACAGCCTCAGGAAACTCAAGTTGATGAAGTTATTCTGCAGCGGAGCCGCGCCATCGTCAGGGAGAGAAGGTATACAATTCAATTAGCGGTGGTCCATTGACATAGAAGGGGAGAAAAGACTGTTGAGACGGGTGAGAAGTTGGGGAGGCGTAGAAGAAGGTAAAAGGAGTAAAACAAGATCAAAGTAAAAGGGGGGGGGGGTTTCAAACTCAAGTCCAAAAGCAACGCAAACCAAATGCAGCAAGGCTCCAACAAGCTCAAAGTAAAAGGGGGGGGGGGATTTCAAACTCAAGTCCAAAAGCAACGCAAACCAAATGCAGCAAGGCTCCAACAAGCGTTTCATCAACCAAACAGTACAAGACAAAAAGAGGAGTGGCAAATTTACGTCGTTCCATCCAAATTGGGTTTCATCGTCAATGTGGGTCGGACTGGTGAGTACAGATAGTTCAAAGTGCAGGGACGCAAAGAACGTTTGCTCGGATAGACAACCAAATGCACTAATTCTCGCGAGGCAGCAGGCTTTTTTTTCATGGGGCACGTCGATCGCATGCGGATGTGACGAGCGCAAGGCATCAAAGCTCGGGGCATCATTCGGATTGACTCCAAAATGAGAAAGGATGGTTGAAGCGCATTTTAAAGAACACCTGCTTTTGAGGTTTTAAGACACAATTCAACAACAATTAGACAATGTTTTTGCAACATTTCAAAAGGCGAAGAACGGAAGCTCAGCAATTGGCTTCTCAATTCCTAGCGATGGACACGTGCGTGCAGTTTCTATCCACACGCTGAATGTGGATAGTCTTGCGAAAACACATGCGGGAGACATGCAAAGGGGTCGCGTGCACTATTGCTTCTCTCTGCCACAGTCGAATTTTTGGACTGTCTGTGTGTATCCAGCCAGAATATACATTCCACAAATAATCATCCCATCTGCATAGATGTGACAATCTATTTTGCGTTGATACAATTCAAATCCTTTACCACGCCCATCTTCATAAAGGATATTTAGTACGAATGGGATCGTCAAGAAATTAAAGTCGGACAGTGAGTGGCAGAGGAATTAGCATCATTCAATTCAAGGTTTGAGCTCAGGATTGGAGGAAAAAAAAACATGCGCAGCTGACATGCCATCGAAGCAGATGCAGACAAAAAGTTCAACCAAAAATTTTACAAACCATCTACATGTAGATGTTGCAGACACATGGTTTATAGCAGCGCATTGGGAGGGGGATTTGGGGTTGTTTCAAAGACACAACCAGAGCCAGTTATCATGGGTGGACACAGATGATTCATAGTGCATTTTGATTGGGTGGGATCACAGGAAGTCGATATTCGGATGGCGGGTTGAGGGTCAGGGGCCGAACGGGGGCGGGACCAAGTAGATTACAGCAGATGGCCATTAAGTTTGTGGAAGAGTTAATGAAAGCATGTAAAAAAAAAAAAAAAGATAAAAACAAGAAATAAATCAATAGTCAGTACACCAACAACATAATAGAGAATAAGGTCATGGCTGACTGCACCGAGGCTATGTTGTACATTTACACCGGGAGCACAATCTGATGTTGTCATTTTAGACGACTCCCCATAACTAAACAAATTACTACTTTTAGGCAGATTGGTTCAATTTTTACTTCAAGCACTTGTATGTCGATAGAGTTCGAACGTAGTCATTAACAGATACAAACACTGTGAGGCTTCAGGGCTTTCACTGCATTATTTGATTGGCTATGAGGTTGCCCGAAGATGCTGGTAGCACCCGGCGGCATCAGCATTCTTCTGGCTTTGCTGTCAGTGCCACACTTCTAGGAGTGCGGTCTCCCCAGGTCCCACCAAGTGGGACTATTATATAAGACTTTCAAGACATATTCGTGCATGGCTGAACAATACAGGGCCCAACTGCCCCCCAACCCCCCCAACCCAAACGCACTCGCCCCAGTCCTTGTTTTCTGTCAATATGACAGATGTGCAAATCCACAGACGTACGCGGAAACTCAGCTGATATTAATAGCTGTTCTTGCAATGCGTCAGAATTGACTACTTACCCCAAGTTCAGTGACCAGAATGTCAGTGATGCTTCCTAGAACGGTCACGCAGTCAAAAATGTTCCAGGCATCTTTAAAATAATTCTGTGAGCGGGATGAACAGCAGAGAGAGAGAGAGAGAGAGAGAGAGAGAGAGAGAGAGAGAGAGGGAAAAAAAGGGAGGTTGGAGAGTAACAGTTCAATATAATTAAATTAGCAGGTTGAAGTCATGCAAAAGTGTCACCAAGAAAGAGGAGGAACATATAATTCAAAATAATCCAGTGAGAGAGAGCAAGAAAGAGAGAGAGAGAGAGAGAGAGAGAGAGAGAGAGAGAGAGAGAGAGAGAGAGAGAGTTAGAAAAGCGATGAGACAAATGGGCCATCAGTCAGGACACATTGGATCTACTCCAGCAGATAAAATGCAGGAAATTGTTCTCCATCAAATTACCACACACTCTAATCATTAAGCACACGTACAGTACACACCAAATTAAGAAGGATGAGACATCGGAAAACTTTTGAAAAAGTTTCCTGCTTGACAGCCTCTAATTAATGAAACCCCATCCACACGTCATTGCGGGCATTAATCCTTCTTAAAACGCTGAAGTCCCACACATGCGCACAATTACGGATTTCTTTCGGGGAAAGAGAGACCGAGCTGAGTGGCGTCGACTTCCCTCGCCTTCCTGCCTTGCTGCCTGCAGCCAAACTGTGCATTAGACCGGCGAAGGGCCGCATAAGCAGGGAGGCGGCTATCAAAATAAAGCACCTTGAGACACACTCACCCTGGATATTATTTGTCTGGAGGGCTGCGTAAAGTGTCTGCCTGTTTTGGACTCCATTCTCGGAGATTTAAATCCTCTCTGGCTTAATCTCCGCCCGCTCTCATAATCCGCGCTCCTCTTTATACCACATACAGTATCTGTCATTCACCCTAATGCCTCTAATTATCACCACTATGTCACCTCAATATTTATACCTTTCAACTATTAGTCTGCCCCCACCGCTCCGCCTTCCTATCGTCTTTTGCAGCTGGTCGCAGGCATTATTTTTTAAAAGCATCTCCCTTGGCTCGCCATTTCCCGTAAACACTTTGCATGCGAGGAACAGAAAAGGACGGACGAAAGGTAAAATTGTGAGTTCGGCTCCTGTCCGGGTATCGTTGCGCAAGATAGTGAACCCCCCTCCCGAGGCTTATGAGCTGTTCCCTGACTCCAAAGTGTATTCCATTCGTCATTATGTGACGGGTCGAATGAGGTTTCCGGCGCAAAAGCGCTCTGAGTACCTTGAAAGTACAATAGAGCAGTACGAGGCCCATTTTCAATGTGCCATAAAATTGTTTTCCTTCCACGGTTTCATTGGTTCTCTCTGCGATGGAAGTTGTAATAATAAGTCTGATAGCTACTCTGCGGATCATCCGTTCAGCCATTTTCTGTACCTCTTACCCTCGTTAGGGTAGCGGGTGAGCTGGAGCCTACAGATCGATGAACTGCAGGGGTGATGCACACAATGTGTGTGCATGACTTCACCAACTCACCCAAGGGATATGGAACTTGAGGAAACTGAAATGGATTCAACACCAGCCAGTAAAGGCTGAGATCGGTCTGTTGAACATGTTTTACGACATACGTTGGTCACACTGAGCTTCACAATTGGGGAGGGCTTTCTCAGACCCGGAAAAAGTATTTCCGTATTGCAATGATGTAACAAAATGAAGAAACCAATTTTGCAAGCATAGTTTCTAGTCTTTTTTTTGTCATGTTCTATAAAATTAAAAGCCATCAATTGGAAATATTCATCTCGGATAAAATTGTCACGCGCTGTCCAATTTTTTTGCCAAGGTATCAACCAGACACACCGAGAAAGACACACACTCGCTCACCAGTGCTCCAAAGGCAATAATCTTGAGCACACACTCCATGGAGAACAGCGAGGTAAACACGATGTTGAGGTTGGCTAACACGGCTTCGTAGGTGTCTGATGCTCCATCGTACTAAAAGAAACACAAACATTCAGACGGCAGCTGCGAAAGCAGAGAATCTAATTCAGGAGTCGCAGACGTAGAAAGACAGTACATGGGACAACAGGGACAGGAAGTGAATGCCGCCATAACGCATCATCGCGTCATCGTTTACCTTCATCATCAGGACAATCGTGTTGAGCGCAATCATCGCCATGATCGTGTACTCGAACGGTGGCGACACCACAAACTCCCACATGCGGTACTGAAAGCTGAGCTTGTTCTTGGGCATGTGGCGAGTCAAAGGCTTGGCGTTGATGGCAAAATCGATACAAGCTCTCTGCACACATATAAAAGAGAAAGATGACGTTTTTGGGGCGTGACGGCGACCGCAACCTTTTCCGCCATCCCGCGCGGCTCCTCACCTCATTCTTTTCTAAACTATAATCCTCCATCATTTTGTCTCCTTGCTCCTGGAAGGTGATGATGATGAGAGCCACGAAGATATTGACAAAGAAAAAGGGGAAGACGACAAAATACACCACATAAAAGATGGACATCTCCATCCGGTACCCCGGGCTGGGGCCTTGATTCTCGTAAGTGGCGTCCACGGAATGTTTCAGCACCCTTACGAAGACAAGACGAGGGGGCGGGGATTAGATGTCGCCGTTTGGGATCGAGCGGGCAGGTGTGTGTACTCACTCCGGCCAACCCTCCCCAGTCGAGACGGTGAAGAGCGTGAGCAGGGCCCAAGCCACGTTGTCATAGTGGAAATCGTACTTCTTCCACTCCCGCTTCTGTGCCTTCACTTCATTATCGCGCCCGTACACCAAAAACTCGCCTCTACAAGTACAAACGACAGCATTAGCGCTCGTGTTCATTTCACGTCCGTTTCCACTCGGGATGAGGATTCTGAAATGGCGATTGGGAAAAAAGCATACCGATATCGGAAGAAGAAATATTACAGGCCAATAATACGATATGTTAGCTCACTTGTTTTGAAACTGAGGAAATAAGATGCAGCTAACACCAAAGCGCTCCACTCGTCTTTCAAATGCACATCGTCAATCGGAAGTTTCTCTTTGTTGTCATTGGATTGGATTTGTGCAATTAAAGTAAGTAAAAAAAACTAAATTAGAATGTAATGTCTAGAATACATTCATATTTGCTGATTGTGGATGACCCTCATCACGTTTAATTGACATCTTTGTTGTTCAGATGACCATGTCGCCAAATGACTCTGCGGGGCCCTACCGGCCAGAAAAGCTGCATGGACCGCAACAAGCATCTTCTTACCTGCAGTCACGCTCAAACTCTTTGGATTCGTCACTGCAGTGAAAGAAGCGTCCCTTGAAGAGCTGCACGGCTACCACGGCAAAGATGAACATGAAGAGCAGGTAGACGATCAGAATGTTGAGGACGTTCTTCAGAGAGTTCACCACGCAGTCAAAAACGGCCTGTTTGAAGCGTTGCGAGAAAGACATTGATCTCACTCTAATGTGACGGAATACGAAGCGGAAAGCAAGGCCTGACGGAAGGTTTTCAAAACTAAAACCGCACCTTGAGTTTGGGAAGACGCTTTATGGTCTTAAGTGGCCGCAGCACTCTGAGCACCCTCAGAGACTTGATGGTGCTGATGTCTTTCCCTTTGCTGCTCCCCCTGCATGTGCCCACACAATCATACGCACAAAGCATTCGGAGAGTCAGCAGGTGCATTTCGACGGAGCTCTCTCACATCCTCAAATAGCAGCAGGCAGACACAATTTGTGGTTATTTGTGTCCTAGTTAGCTCCAAATGAGTAACTGTGCCGTGTTAAATACGTAGCGCGACATGCATCCGTGCTATTCGTTGACGCCGAAGTCTATTCCGAAGTGTTGGGGTTATCGACATGCTCCCACTTCAGTGGCTATTGTACAACGACAGTACATGCTAGAGCTTAACCTCTACAAAAAAAAAAGTCTGCAATGTATTTCAATGCTGTATAAGGATGACTCAAGAAGTCATTTCGGCACAGTAACGGTGAATACGGTATACTCATGCTGCATTGAAACCTTGCTTTTTTTTCCCATGATGCAATACATCACGACTTATACCGAGTCACGCTACAAAGTATAAGTGATGCCGGACTCTATTTTCTACACAAATGCAGTTTGCAGAGAGAGTTTAGTCCTACGTCGTGTCATTAAAAAATGAAAATACAAAGAAGTCCAAATCAAGTGGAGGCGGATCTGTTCGGCGGAAACGCACAAAGAAACAAAACAAAACAAAAAAAAGACAAACTCTCTCCTTTCATTCTGAAATCTACAATCGTCGACAAACACCAAACAACCGCTAGAACGGTTGTTTTCAGCGCATTGTTCAGTCTGCATGGAATCTTGTGGTCTCCTCGGCATCGACAAAGTTATTTTAGCGAGCATCTCCGCATGAAATGCTCAGCCAAAAATTGACACGGGCTTTCTTGGAATACACATGAGGATAGTAAACGAAAAAAAAAAAAAACAACTGAATCCAACAACTGAGCCCACAGTTGCTTTCCTTTGCCAATTCACAAAGGGACGCTGAAGTGGTGTGAACGATTTCTTTGGCATGAAGTCAACCTACTGTATGTTCTCCAAATGCCTGTGTAAAGCTCAACAGGGTCAAAAGGGCATTGAGGGGAGTGCCTGAGAGATGGCAGCACGTGTGTGTCAGCGGCTGCGTGTCTTACAGATGTGAGGCCAGATGGTGCACATGCTGTACAGTGGACCCCCGCATACTCGCGGTTTGGCACCTGTGGATTCAGCTCTTCATTTTCTCAATACATTTAATTTTTTTTTTTTTTCGGGGGTGAAACAACCTCTATGCCTCATTGGCAGTTTTTCAAGAATTTATTTATTCAACGCATTGATATTGGTCGTCAATTCCATGCGGATGTTTCGCTATTCGTGGACTGGCCCGTGCCTAATAGCAGAGGTCCACTGCATATACACTATTGTGTGTCAACTTCTGTCATTTATCCGCAGTCACCCATTCGTTGGACAGTTTTTCAGTTGTGAACAGGTTAACTACTGGTTTTGTCGTGTCTGAGTCAGAGCTCTTCCATGGTGAACAATGAAACAGAAGGACAGACAAATTATTATCTCTGCTATGAAGGATGGATGGAGAGGTGACGAGTGTCATGTGCGTCCATTGGACAAACATGGAGAAAGGAGGAAGAGGGCATCTAGAGGTGGAGAGAGACAGAGAGAGAGAGAGAGAGAGAAAAAAAAGACAACTTTACCCTCCGCCGCTGTTGGTGGTGGTCCAAACGAAGAGATGAGAAAGGAGTGAGATAGTGACAGGACGGAAGAGAGAGAGACAGAAAGACAAGGGTGGGAGGAAGAGCCAGAATGGGATTCAAAATGAGAACCCGGATGAGAAAGAGTGAGAGCAAAGAAGAGAGGCCCGGAACACTCAAACAGCATCAAATATCTTCATCCCTGTTTCTTTAGCGATGACTCTGCTGGTCAGGGGCAATATCTTACGGGCACATGCAACTATACCGATATTACTTTGTCATCTAAAGAAGAGGAAAAAAAATGACTGTTGTTATTTATTGCCGATTATTTGCATTCAACTCCGACCAGAAATTCCATCAAGGAGAGAGGAGAGTGACAAAGGAGCGAGGTGGGAAGAGGTAGAAATGTTTTGGGCAAATAAGACTCCTCGATGTTGGTGGAGACGTCTGCTAAAGGTGACGTCACGTCATTGACGCATGTCACAAATGCGCCCGCCTCAGTGTCAGAATTATTACCACCACCGCCAATGTATTTTTGTGGCACTGAGCATACTGTGAGATCGTTTATTATTATTATTTCTTCTCATTGGTCTCGCCTGACCCTTAACAGTTCAAATCCAAGTCCAACGCCTTCAGACGAATCAGACAGGCTAATTGGATTGAAAGGAGTGATAAACATCTCCAATGAGGTTGCGGAGCCTTTCTGGAGTGCTGTTTGATTTCAGTCAATTGAGTTAAGACACTGTCAGGTTGTGCATGACACTGCAACGGCTGCCACGGTGAAACCGACTTTTAGCCTTCCCATGCAGCATGGACCGCGTTTGCCGATGTCGACTTGCCTAGCTATGCAGAAACTGTAAACGCATGTTAATGTATTCTTGGCATTCCTGGGAAATCCCTTATTCATTAAACAGTCTGTTGCGAACAGTTAGGGAAGCATTTTTAAGCAAAATGTCCGTTCAACATTCAAATCCTATAAGGATCCAGACCTGGGGATGGGGGGGGGGGAAGCGGGAACTTCCGCATTCTCATCACATCAAATATGTCAAACATTGCGAATGTGGCAAGCGGTCACAAGTTTGCTTCGAAGAGATTCAAAGGGACATATAGCCTCCAGGAATAGTCTGAGTGATGAAACGAACCAGTAGAAAATTACCAACTGAGACGGCACAACAAGCACCCAGGGGAACTTCATGCTACATTTATGTTTTCTATATGGGACGAGCCATTTTTCATCTTTGTGGCGTCCTCGAATCTATGATGATATTGAAGAACAAAAGGAGAAGCAGGTGTTTCGCTGCTCCGCTGAGATAAACGCCCCCCCCCCCCATCCCATTTCTAGTTCAAGCTCATATTGATGTTTATTAGAGAAAGCAATTTGTTTGCTTATTTGTTTTGCCCAATAGTTTTTCACATTCAATCGCACAAATTGATTGAGGGGAGAATCTCATCAGATATATGCCACTTTATCTATCGAAGGGTGTGAAGTAAATGTAATAAAGGGGGCATGGCCCAAAGTAGATTTACCGTGGAAAACGATTGATAATTAATTTGTATTCCGGAACACCGTGTGTCATCTTGATAACTACTCAATTCATATCATGAAATGAAATTAAAAATGTCAAGTGTCACACCTAAATTTGCTTCCTATGCGATGCACTTTCTGTTAACGTGCTCAAGTGCAAATGAAGTCATTGCTAATGCGTGCTGGCAGCCACAATAGCAAGAATTTCAGCAGAAAAAAACCCCAAAACAAAACAAAATTTAAAAAAAGTGCTCATTAGATGATATCATTGCTTCGTATCATACCGAAAGTAAATTTAGCATAACCTTCACTGACTCATCGACTTTTAACTCCAGAATCTCCTGGCACTGAAGGGTTACTGGTAGGTGGAGTGGTCATTGCCTCGTGCAGAATAGACAGGCAGGAGAAACTGTTCGTATGTGTTTACAAATGAAAGGATGGGGAGCGGGGAGGAGAGGAAAAGGTCAACTGGAGAGGATATTAAGCTTAATGGAGAGGGACGGAAAACGGTATGTGAGAGAAGGAAATCCACCGAGAGGAAAAACATAGACTCTTCCGGGGTAGTGACTATGGATGATTATACAGGAAAAGAGAAATAAGCAAGAGGGACACTTACGTGAAGGCGAAGGCCACCAGCGCACCACTAACCACAATAAAGTCAAGGATGTTCCACAAGTCACGGAAATACGAGCCTTGGTGCAAGACCAAGCCCAGGTCCACCATCTGGAGGAGAAAGACCGAACACGATGAGAAAACCAATTCACCTGGCGATGCTTTCTACAAGCCTAAAGACGCCCCCCATCCCCCACTTTACCTTAATTAGCATCTCAAATGTGAAAACTCCTGTGAAGACGTAGTCGAAATAGCGCAGGACCTACACACACGACATCGGAATGAGATGAATCACATGCCGAACACTCTTTTGGCAGACAAACTGAAACTGAAAAGAGACTCGAGATACTGCGGCTGAGTGTATGCCGACATACTTTTCTGACGAATGAAGACGTGCTGCTTCATTCGACATTTTACTGAGGGTTAGCACCAAGGGTGACATGGGAAGGTCCATTTTTTTTTTTCCAGGCAGGATTAAACGATAGTCTTACATTGTTGCGAGTAGAATCGGGCCAGACGGGGTCTTCGGCAGCAAGGGCGATACTACTCATGGCAATGACGAGCAGAATACACATCTCAAAGTAGCGCAGGGTGCAGATGTAGTGACAGGCCCGGCGAAACCTGTGGTGGAGACAAAGTTGGAGTCATTGTACTGCCTACCATCCCGTCTGTGTCGGAAGAATATATAATCGCATTGGCTGTGGCATTAGAGAAGATCCGCTTTACTTTTGAGATTTCAATCTAAATCCGATGATCAAACAAGGCCAAGTAGGCTTGCTTCTCGAAAGCCATTTTTTTTTCCTTCCACTACACTGCACACTCCAGGTCGTACGGACTGGAAACCTTCATCTTTCCACCGCACGGCGTGTAAAGGCCGCTGATAAATTCGTGAGACGTGGCAGCGGCGTGACTCCGTCACTCGCTGATGACTTCACGAGAGGCGAGAATACGCGACGCAAAGAACAACAGAACTGAAATGTACAGCTCGGTGGACATGACCTTACATCGGGCGGATGGCTCACGTGTCCTACTCACGGGTTAGTGGTGGTCAGTATAAACATTGAGGTGAAGGGAGGCATGGGCCTGGGTCCCCCGTCACCGCCCTTTGCGTCATCATCGTCGTCTTTGTCCTCCTTCGCTGGTAAAGGCTCCGTGTTTGCATTTTTATTGACTGTGTTCAAAAGAAAGACATGGAGGAGGAATGTTGAACAAGACGGATCAAGTTACGTACACGGTGCCGTTTTTTTTTTTTTTTTACCCTGCAGGATGGCATTGGTGGATGGAAAAATTGGCATGTCCACGACTGTGTGGTCCAGGTGGGGTTGTCTGATGATGCTGCTGGCACGCCGATGCCCGACGTTCCCGAAGCTGTCTAATCTGACTAAACTCCCCCGGGTACCGCTGTTGACGAGCTGGAGGGCCGATTCAAAGCCCGGGGCCGCATTGCGGCTGGCGGGTGGATTTGGGTGCTGCTCGTCGGAAGGGGTGGAGCCAGAAACCAGTTTGCTATTCATGAGGTTGTCCATGTCTTCACTGTCTTGCCTGTCCTGCCTGGACAACCTCTTTTGGATGGGCCTCGTCGTGGAGAGGTTCAGAACACTCCCGGACCTGGAGAGATGAGAAGAGAATATTGGATGTCTGTTGTCAGTGTCGGAAATGAAAATATCATCAGCAATATGGACTAATTAAGGCCCAACCTAATGTCAGTGTTCGGGATACACCTCGTATCCATTCCATTTTTGATTTATGTTATTAAGATGTTTCTATGTGGGAACGATTGGAGGAATTCCAGCATGACCCAAGTAAAGCTCATATGAGAATGCTCGGCTGAGTTTGTTCAACACCACAATGGAGGATTGCGAGTCAGGCACAATTTCCTATCGATACACTCCATAGCCTTGTCGAAACGATAAAAGCTATCAAGTATCCCAACAATATTTTCTTATACCGCTGGAGTTATTGTGATATCATGACCAGGCCACACAATAATTCTATTTATATAGTGTGTACATATATAATAAAATTCTAGACTTACTTGCGTCGATGCTGGCACATCTTCTTCCCGTCTCCTTCCGTCTGGTTGCCATGGCGATTCCTTCTCGGCCTCCTCTCACTTCCATCACCAGCCGCTTCCTTCTCTCCTCCCTCGCCACCTTCATCGACCCCTTTGCTCTTGTCTCTTCCTGCTTTTCCAGTTCCTTCTCGACCGTCCTCGCCTTCATCATTCTTGCGATGCAAACGAGGTTTCTTGTGTTCGGACTGGCCCGTCCCTCGACTTCCGCTGCGATTATGATGATGGCGCCTCGTCGGCCTCTCCTCCGAGCCCGGCCCGGGAATGACCGTTGTATCCAATCGTACGTGGGAGCTACGATGATGGTGCGTACCTTTCCGGCTTCGCCTGCTCTCAGTGGACTCGCCTCGCTCGAGAGGAGCTTTAGCGGGGCGTCCTTGACCCGCGTGTTGGTGGTGGTGCGTTTCCCTGTGGAGGTCATCGGCGGAATGCCGCGGGGTGAAGCAGAGGTCCGGATTGTTGTCAGTGTTCTTGTTGGTGTTGTTGTTGCGGTTCTCAAGGGGATCAATCACCAAAGGTCGATCCAGGTGAGTTTTCATATCTGGTCGAACGTGGCGTGAGTAGTTGACCTGAGCATGAAGGGTCACAATTTTTACACCCGTCTTGCTTAAAAACTGTAATAAGTGAACATTTTTGGTCGACATACAGCGGAACCTCTAAAGTTTGAATCTCTCAGAGGTTGTTAAAAAAAAAATTGTCATTCAATTGAAACATTTGGGAAGCTACGCCTCATTGCAAAATCCGCATGACGCCATACGAGATGACTTGATTTGACCTGGATTAGATTCTTGATATTTTCAAGATTTCCTATGGCAAATGTAAACACTCAATGAGTGTCCTGGTTTGACTTGAGCGGTTCCACCGTAAAGTATGTCGAGATCGGAAACATAACATTTACATAGCCATCTCTTGTGTACACTGATAACACAAGTCTAAAGGCTTTTTTTTTTTTTTTTTGCCTTGTCCTTTACATTGTTGTGTTCTTCCCGCCCTGTTCTTGCCTTCCAGCGATCTTCAGGGTCCAGCTCGTTGTAAAGGGCTTCTCGGCTGGATGCCAGCGTTTGCTTCCTCAGCTCCTTGGTGCGCTGCTCCCACACAGACTTGTTGAGACCCTTGTTGTGGTTCTTCTGCTGCTCCTTACTGTGAAAAACCAAGCCCGGTGGAGAAGAATGAGTGGAGGCGAGTGGAAGGATTTGCGTCAAGAAAGCTGAGCAAGTACACACAAAGCAACGTGCATGGGATTTTGGAAAGCATGTCGGGGACGACAAGACGGGGGCAAAACGAAGATAAGGTAAGAATTTGTTTTAGTTAGCAATGATTCAACGCACACACAGCTCAATAAACAACAAACAAATTTATTGTCGGAATTCTGAAGACAACAGCTTATTAGTTATAGTAACCAACCAACTTTGACTACGAAAATTACCGGTGACCACCTATTTTAGTCTTAAAAAGATTCTGATTTGAGTCACAACTGTGAGGTGCAGCAAGAGTACACCTCTTGGAAAAGTGGCAAAAGTAGCGATTGGCGACAGTTTATTGAGGTTCATAAAAGGTTCGAGACAAAGAAAGATGGGGAGGAGGCAAAGGAAGAGTTGTCAGGGCACTTAACAGAAGAGATTCAGATATAAATAAACGAATTAAAAAAATAATAATAATACCAGTCCAGAAAGGGGTCAGTAGCGTGGTGACAATCACTGTGTACTTTGTTGCTGAGGAGGGAAACAGTTGGTGAGTGAGATGTCAAAAAAACGGATCTACCTCATGTAATTAGGATTTTTATTATTGTATATATTTTTGACACACCTCCATGTACACGGACGCAATCGCAAACATACATTCACTCACCCATGCCTGAAAGGAAACAGTTGGTGAGTGAGATGTCAAAAAAACGGATCTACCTCATGTAATTAGGATTTTTATTATTGTATATATTTTTGACACGCCACATTTTGGAATGCAACCCTCTGTGTACACGGACACAATCCCAAACATACATTCACTCACCCATGCCTGAAAGTCTCAGTTATTATCTCATTAGTGGATCATCATTCACATTTGTAACGTTTCTCAAAAACAATGTGAATCAATTCGTCAACGCATTCAGAAGACTGCGCTGAAATTAATTGAGGATGATTCCTTTCACAAAGCAAGTGCAAAACCACCGCCTCAGTCAGTTTTGCGATCGAAACAAAAACCATATTGGAGTCTGTTGTTTATGACCAGGCATTTTCCAAACGCAACACGCACAAAGACAGCATACTCTGTGATGTCACATGAGGCCACGCAACCCGTGTAAGCGTGTTTTGTGCGCGCTCATAACCCGAATTCATAGGAACCGTGTGTGACATAAAGAAAGCAGAGGCTGTTGTGTCAAAGCAGTAAAGGTCACTGTGAATTGTGTGTGTTCACGCAGCGTTCCCCCGCTGTTGTTAAAACCTTTATGAGTGTACGTTTATGTGGGATTGTACACCGTGTTTTAAAAAGGAGGGAGAAGTCTGTTCCATGGCCGCAAACATCAGATCATCAGATCTCATCTTTAGTGCTGTATACGTTCGCATTGAAGACACCTTATCTGTTGTATTAGTGCTAGCATAGGTGCTAACATTATTGTTTAGTCTTGTGTATTATCTGATAGATAGATAGATGGATAGATTTTTAAAAAGGAGGGAGAAGTCTGTTCCATGGCCGCTAACATCAGATCTCATCTTTAGTGCTGTATAGGTTCGCATTGAAGACACCTTATCTGTTGTATTAGTGCTAGAATAGGTGTTAACATTATTGTTTAGTCTTGTGTATCATCTGATAGATAGATAGATAGATAGATAGATAGATAGATAGATAGATAGATAGATAGATAGATAGATAGATAGATAGATAGATAGATAGATAGATAGATAGATAGATAGATAGATAGATAGATAGATAGATAGATAGATAGATAGATAGATAGATAGATAGATAGATAGATAGATAGAGAGAAAGACACTCACGCTGCTATGGAGAGGTTGGCAGCTGAGAGGGGGCTGACTTCCGCCACCTCCTTGGCTTTTTGCAACGCGATCTTCTGACTGGCAGCCTCCTCCTCCTCTTGCTCATCCTGCCGGGAAAGAGAAAAAGAAAGGAGACAAGGATGTCAATGGAGGAAGGTGAGCGAAGAGACAACAAACCAACTAAAAAAAAAAGAAAGTTTAGGCACGATGAGGTAACGTCGAGCTGGGTGGCACCTTGGTTAGCTCCTGCGCGTTGGCCAAATTGTCCACAGCGATAGCCAAGAAGACATTCAGCAGAGTATCTGAGTGAAGAGTTATAAGAAAAACGGCGTGTGGGTGTTTGGCTTACGCATTTCCACACCAAGGCACAGACTCATGAGAATAAAAAAGGCAACAGTAGTATTTGACTTCCTTTTACAGTGTTTGCCACTTTTTTTTTTTTTTTTTTGCAAATGCATCGTCGCAAGCAAAGGATACAGTTGCCAAAAAGTGTGAGCACAATGAAGAAGACGGAGAAGGCCATGCCCTTGTTGACTCCGCCCTGAGACTTGATGCCGGCGTACATCACCATGTTCCAGTCTTCTCCTGTCAGGATCTGGACACCAGCATGCACCAAAAAAAAAAGGCCATTGTCTCGAGGATTTTATCACATTATATTCTGGACATATCAAGAGTAAAATCCTCCATTATCTGTAATTAGCTAATCAAAAGCCCCGGGAAAGTCACTGAATTAGTGAAAATGTGAAACATGAGAGTGCACTGTCAATCAAATGACTTACTCTCACACGTCACCATTTCAATCTTGACACCATTGTGTGACGGCTGGAAGAAAAAAAAATGATCGCAACGATCGCTTACCTGAAACACTGTCATTATTGCTGCCGGGAAGGTATCAAAGTTTGTTGAAGGAGTGCCATTTTCAAAATTAAACCTGACAGGGGAAAAGGCAAATGGGCGGGGAGGGGTTGGGGGGGGGGGGTTGATTTGAGATCAATTTTTGAGAGAAAGGGTAAACAGTAGCATTACAGCATCATAAACGTACACTTCAAATGTGCGAAATAAGGAAGGCTAAATGAAACGGCACTGACTGTCCTCCGAAGAGCTGCATTCCCAGCAGGGCGAAAACAACTATGAAGAGGAAGAGGAGGAAGAGCAAGCTGATGATGGACTTCATGGAGTTGAGCAAAGACACCACAAGGTTTCGTAAAGATGCCCAGTACCTGGAAGAAAAAAAAACAAAAACAGACAATACATTTTTTTTAAAAAAACAGATTCCCTCTGCATACAATAAATCCTAATGCGAGTATTGGAATTGAAGACACTCACTTGGTGACCTTGAAGATCCTCAATAACCTGAGAGCTCGTAAAACACTGATGCCGAACGACGTGCCCGGCTGGATAACAGACCACAGCACTTCAAATATGCTGCCGCAGATCACCTATTTCAACGCAGACGTATGCGACTCATCGTTATAATATAGAAATAGAGGAGTCTTTTTTTGGTGGTGTTTGCGGTTCGCCCCGAGTCGCGAGTGGTACTCACGATGCAGTCAAAGCAGTTGAAAGAGGAGTTGAGGTATGCCTGTCTTCCCAGACCATACATCTTGACAAACATCTCTGTCAGGAATATTCCCAGGAAGATAAATTCAGCATAATCTATCAGGAGGGGAGCAGACAAAAAAAAAATAAGTGATGGACACCAGAGAGAGAGAGGGAGAGAGGACACCATCCATTCTGTTATCTGCAGGATATTCCTCGATTCCGTCACCATTAAAATGAATTAGTATCAAAACTTCATCAAATTGAGTGAGGGAATCTACGCAGGCCAACTCAAAGACAGATTAGCATGCCGTGCACCGTATGCCCACCATAAGTAAGAGCCTCCACCAAAACAATATACTTGTATCCCTTTTACAATGAGAATCATGCTTGAGTCTGTGTATTAATGGAACAACTTATTTAGTCATTTGATGACATAGTTTGCACACACACACACACACACACACACACACACACACACACACACACTGCTTTTTTGTCCCCATACCGCAAAACTGGTCCCCAGGACGTGACTGTGTTAACAATTTTATGTCCCCACAAACATATGAAAACGAGAACACACACGCACACGCGCGCACACACACACATTGATCTGCCCTACTCACTTAAAAAATCCGAGAGCGGTTCCGGCTGGTCGTAGTGCACGACAGCCACACACAGCGTGTTGAGGCCCACCAAACACAGTACAGTCCAATAGAAGGCCTGGGACTTCACCATGTGTCGAATTAAGAAGCGCAAGCGCCTTTCTCGCCTCTTGAAAGTCGATACTTCAAGCTTGGAGCTTTTTAAGCTGGCACGGGCAAACGGTGAACCTGAAAGGAGGGGTGGGGAGGAGGGGGGGGACACAGGTCACCACTCAGCGTCACCTGTATGAATGTATGTCAGAGGTGACAAATCCGGATCCAGAAAGTAAAAACCCCTGCTGAAGTTTGGTTGTATGAAGGAATGAAGGAGAGACAAGGTCGGGCGGGTCCGGTGATGCTGATCCACGCAAGCTAGCATCTGTATGTTCTGTACCAGTGGTTTCGCTTTGTGAGCATGAGCGTGTGCGTGCGCGGTCTCACCAACTGCCAGGTCTCCCTCGCCCTCCTCCGGGTTTAGAAGCTCCGCTTTGCTCTTGTGGTTCTTGGTGGCTCTCCTGCGGGAGCCTGGAACAGAAAGAACGCAGCAGCCCATCTTGAATTCGGTGATCTGCATTCAGATCAAATCACAACTGATCTCATGGTGACTTTGTGGTGACGCTACTTCATAGCATTACCGGAAGTTGACTAAAAATCTCATCAGATTACGCCAATGACATCGCTATACTGCTCGCAACCACTAGGGGACATATTTGCATGATACACGGATTGGTATGATATGCTGTGATGTTTTTTTTTTTTAATCACCGTTGCAGTCCTTCTACGTGGCGGCATTTCTCACCATTGACACACACTGCTGGTTCCATTTACCAGTAACATTTAACAGTCACTCATATAACAATAGACAACCACGCACACAAGAACAGTAGAAAGAATTCCTACCATCATAATCATTTTCATTGTCATCATCTGCCAAGAGAACCTCTTCTGCAAAAAAAAAAAACAACAACACCACAGATTCTTGTTGTTCATCCATTTTATATTCAATGCATAGAAGTGAAATGATTTTATTATCACAAAAACTAGTAGTTACAAAGTTGTAAGATGAAGCGCGATGATTTTAACCAGTCTTTTCCGTCGCCAATGCAAATGAAAACACACTGCGGGCCTGCACCTTTGTGTTCAACGCTTCCCTTTCTTTTCATACTCGACTTATTTTGACGTAGCTCGTCTATTCAAGAAGATCAAAAACGGCCTGTCCTCAATTTGCACTGCAGACGCCTCCTTCATCTTCTCTCCGCGTCTGTCCTACAGGCCCCCGCCGCATTCTTTACACTAACAAGGCGACGGGTTCAAGTTAACTGCAGGCGACGATCGGCATCGATGACTTTAACCGCATGTTTCACATTTGTGGATATTTCACTTTAGAAGCACCAAAAGCTGCTGCGTTCTATATTATGACAGTACCCCGCCTACTGCCCGATGACAGCTGGGATAGGCTCCAGCACGCCTGCGTGACCCTTTGTGAGGACAAGCCGATTCGAAAACGGTCGGATGGACGGACGGATATCGGAAGAGCTTCGATTTACCGGCTTTGCAGATCCACTCCAAGTAACCATTGAGTTCCCTTTCAATCTGCTGCTGCCTTCTCAGCTTCAGGAACTCACTTCTGTTTTCCACTCGCTCTCTCTCTTTGGCAAACTCCCTGTGAACATACACACACACAAAAAATATGTTTTAAACTGATATTCCCGTGCATTTTTTTTTTTTGCATGCCTCGCTGAGCAGACCCTTACCCTGACAACACACCCAGCACCAGGTTGAGCATGAAGAAGGAGCCGATGATAATAAGGGGGATGAAATACATCCAGTTCCACGCGCTCCCTGAGGCATCGTTGCTCTGGAAACGCACACACACACACACACACACACACACACACACACACACACACACACACACACACACACACACACACACACACACACACACACAAACCACTCGTCAGAGGTTTTTGACCTTCCACGACCGGCATTGATGCGAAGGTGCAAATGCCACTTCAATGACAGTGACCGCTCCCTTCATCAAAGAGAAATCGGAAATATTGGTACCTTGCTGGAGGATCTAACTTCATTTCATGCTATTCTAGCTTTTTTGGATGCATTGATAATGCAGCTCAACTCTCACCATTTTCGCTTAAATGAGACATTCCAAATCCTGTGATGCCACCCTCCAAAAAAATTTTTTTTTAATCATCCCTATCATTCATGCATCACCGTTGCGAGTTTCTTTCTCCTCGTTTTGTTTCTCCTGCCGTCCTCCTGTGTCCTGTTTAGTCATTCATTACTTATGTCAATCTTTTCTACTTGAATTCCTTCGTGACTTCCTGCCTTTCTTGCGATCTTCTGAAGCTCCCGCCACTCTCACTAATCAACATCCCCTCCCTAAGTCTACCTCGAGTCCTGCTCCCTTCTTAACCAAGAATGTCGTATTGCCCTAATAGCCCCCCTTGCCTTGCCTCCTCCGATCCTTTCCTCTCTGTCTACTCGGAAGCTGGCATGGCTGCCGTGTACCTAATGCACCGCAAACCCGTTTTTTTTTTTCTTTCCCCTACCATTAAACTTTTATCACTTCTCTCTCCAGAAGCTACAAGAATAACTCCGTCTGAAAAGGCCCTTTTAAAAAATAGAGCAGCACCGGGAAGGCGGGACACAAGGAGAGACATCAAGCGAAAGGGACAGCGCGCTTTAAGAGCGAACGTATGATGACCATGCTGGAAATTTGATCGAGTACAAAAGAGAAAATGGCGTCGGCATGAGAGGTGCAACAGTCTCAAGACCTTCATCTGGTCTCCAGAACAACCAAGAAACCAGGAAGTCATTGCACAATGAGAAGAGGATTGGATGACAAGCTGTCAGTCCAGCTCGAGATGTGCTTTTGCGTTTGGTGTTGTGTTCAGTATGCGCCACATACGCAGAGTGAATGTTTTCATTGTCTTCAAGCTAACGGAACTCGCTTGAAATCCACACGATAAGCTCTGCTTGTGCTAGAAGAAAAAAGCGGCCAGCCAACCATGCGTCCAGAACTCGCCGCCGACCGTGTAAGGCTGAAGTGGAGCCTCTGCAGGAACACGCTGGTGAGATCCGAGCTATTTTCAATTACGCTGTAAAAATATGTACCGCATATCATTCTTTATGTTATGCACCAAGCACTTACATAGTACAACAGTTCGGTCCAGCCCTCCATGGTGATACACTGGAAGACGGTGAGGATGGCGAAAAGGATGTTGTCAAACTGGGTGATGCCGTAGTTTGGACCGAGCCAGTACTTTCGACACGTGGTACCCTCCGGACACAATCGCGACGGAGGCTCCGTCCCACACGGGAACTCTTCTCGGATCTCCCCTGGATTTGGGCAGAAGTTAAAAGCGGTCTTGTCTCTCGCGAACGGCGTGTCAATACCGTCCCTTTCTTTTGATGAAATAAGTGGACTGAATATCAAGAGCGGTCTTACGTAAGAGCGGTCCATATCCATTCACCGTACCTGTGTGATTGTCAAAGCAGGTTTTGTGGAATTTGCCCATGTAAAACTCCAAGCCGATGATGGCGAACATGAGGATGGCAAAGAAAAGCAGGAGGCCAATTTGGAGCAGAGGGATCATGGCCTTCATGATGGACTTGAGCACCACCTGTAAGCCTGGAAGGCGGAGCGCAGACGCCGTGAGCGCATCTTTCTGCGACGTCGACTAAAAATAACACCGAATTTTGAAAAAAAAAAAAGTTCTTGACGAAATAATTTGAATTCCCAAAATGATGACATACATAAGCGGATTAATTAAAGAGACAATCTGCAATTGAATTGTTTCTGCAAATCATCTCGTTTGGTGTGAGGATTTGTTCATTTCATCTTGGTTTGGATTTTCTTTTGCAGCTTGGCGGGACCCAGCGGCGGCGCATCAAGGCTGTGTCGAGCATTTTGGAATATTTGAAGACAGCTGACAAAGTAAACATCGTCTTCACCCACCATTTGAGTGTTTATCGCGCGCGTTAAAAATCATTTTGAAGATACAACCGGATCTTACGTTAGAGAAATATCATCCATAAGAATGTTAATTTTAATGTTGCTGGCGGACACCCACTATGTGCGGGCGGAAGGGGATTGCGAAATTAATATAATTGACGGCTGCTAAACATTCAATCCGTGTTTCGACTGAAAATTCACTTCTCTGAGCTATTTCTAAACCTCCTATACAACTTTTCATTTCCTAGCTTTTTTTTTTTTTTTTTTTTTTTTTTTTTTATGACTTTGTCGCCCAATTTCGGTCAACCATACGAGAACCGAAAAACAAACAAAAAAAATCCAACACACTTCCTTGCAATGCCGCACTTACTGGGAATACCAGAAACCAGTTTGAGAGGCCTCAAGACTCGAACAGCTCTGAGGGTCCGCAGGTCAAAATCTGAGCCCACAGTGGACAGGATCCTAATGGAACAAATACAAAAGGGGCAATCAATATGCAAAGTCGTTGAACTTATTATTCGTCCGACTCCTGAAAACATTCCACACACACGCAGACGCACGCAAACGCATTCCAAGCAACTGCAGGCACATGGTATGTGAATCCTGCAGGAGCCGAGCTAATCGATAGGGGTGACGCTGAAGTGTATCATGGAGGGGGAGGGACGGCTCATTTGTATCGGCGCGGCGGAAGGACTAAATTTTAAAAAAGGAGGATGATGGAGTGATGGGCAGGAAGGAGGTGGTGAGAGGGATGACGAAACAAAGCGGGGAGGAATGTCACGCGATGAAAATGAGAGATGCTGACTTGTACATTGTTTTTTTTTGTTTTTTTTCGCAGTTTCTTCAAAGTGTTTGCAGACTGGGGAGGAATTGATGTCGCGCTCGAGAAGGGAGGGCGGATCACGAACGATAAACAAGGTGGTGTGTGTGCATGTGCGTGTGTGCAGAGTCGAAAGACGTTCCCTCTGTGCCGCCAGACTTCCAGTCAGTCACTCGTCTGACGCACAGAGTGAATCATCCCCCCTTCTCACTTCTCCCTCTTGCTCTTCCTTCTTCTCTTTTTATTTTTTTTGTGTGTTTTCTCTTTCCGTCACTCTGACACATTGCCACTCGCATCTGTTCCGGTGACACAGCAGAGCCGTAATCACTGCAGGCTTCAAATCAGAGCGTGCTGCTTGGAAACCCACAAAAATAGCAAAAGTGACATCCACCCGGGATTTACCGGGTGCTCCCGAGATGTCACTTTAAACCTTGCGTTATGTTGACTTGAAAGCCCCTCCTCCAGTGGTACCTACTTGGAGGTAGTTGATCACTTGTGGTAGCGACAGGGGCCCTCCGAGTGACATTGTGTGGCATCAAGTCATCATAGGAGGCGGTCGTGTACCTGAGAGGCTCCGGGTTTGGTCACGGGGGCGACGACTCTCTGCACTATGTACACCGACCGAATAAAAAGTGGATCGGACCTTGAAATGTCCTTCAACGACCTGATTTTGTACGCTTCAGACTTGAATTGTATTCCGACTTTACCCCTTTTTCTGGAAGTCTAACTCAAATGTTGAGGCAGGGCGCACTTGAAAAATCTCGATGAACTCTATCCAGAATGTTGGGCTGATCAGATTTGAGGATGACATTTACTGTCACTGTGTTAAACCTTAATTGGTTGTGGGAGGCAATCCTGACGGGCGATAGAAATGTCCATTTACTGTCAATGTTTTTGGTGGCTACCAAGCTAATTGAGGAGTCAGGGTGCCAAATGCTGAGTCAGAAACCTTAATTCTCAGAATTATTAATCATGGTTTTGTGTACACTAAAATAGGCCCGATGGGGTGAAGTGAAGTGATTCAGCGAAGAGTGGTAGGGGACATGGAACAACACGTGAGCCCCACCGGGTTCCATATTGTGCGGGCGAACGGCTGCCGTTGGACACCCCTA